TGCATACTCCAAATTAGACGTTACATTCATATTATGTGATTTCACGTTGTTGTTCTTTTTTCCTCCCTCCATTTATCATTGCACTGCAGCTCAGTTGAGAAAACAAAAAAAATAGACTAATGAAATTTAAGACCTTTGTGAAAAAATAAGACTTGGACAACAGAATTTAAGACTTTTTAAGACCTTATTTTAGGAACATGAATTTTAAAACCTTTTTAAGACTTTTAAGACCCCACGGCTACCCTGTAAAGGCGCACTGTGCAACTTTCCTAGTAGGATATCCATCACCTGGTTGTCTCTATATGTTACTGTTCCACAATATTAATATGCTACACTATTGTACAGTTTACTATTACTCAAGTAGATCTATATGGTTCTAGAAAACTACTCTTAAAATACTTGAAAGATTTTATTCAAATGTTAATGTTTTAGGCCAGGGGTGTCAAACTCATTTTGGTCCGGGGGCCGTATCCAACCTACTTTGATCCCAAAGGGGCCGGATCAGAAAACTCATGGCATATAAACCCCAAAAATAACAATAAGTTCAAATATTTGTGCAGAAAAATGCAAATCTATTACAGACATCTTTTTTAATTGATGAACTCTTTCTTATTATAATATTATAATATTATGAACAATCTGAAACTTCAAGAAAAATTCAATTTCAACACAATTTCAACATGAACTTGTGCAAATAGGAATAAGTCAATTTTTGTTGTAAAATCCTGCACTCGGCTCCACTTTTCTCATTTTTGACATTTTTCTGATGAGGGTGTCACGGTCAACAGTCAAAACGATCGTCCTTTAAGAGCGTTTGGAAAGAGACAAGTTTTCTTTTGTGCTGCTCTGGTGGGAGGGGCCACGTACAGAGATGGAGATGCTGCTATGCTAAGCACCGCAGAAAATTACCAATATTTTAATAGAAAATATAATTAAAATATTTTAGTAGAAAATCACCCAAGGGCCACATTAAAGGTCTTGGAGGGCCGGATCTGGCCCCTGGGCCTTATGTTTGACACCTGTGTTTTAGGCTATAAATTCAGTTATTTAAACGTGTATTCCCATATATTTATTTATGTTTTACTCTTTGTTGTTCTGTTGTTATGTGCAAGCTACTGTGTCCTGGTAATTTCCCTTGTGGCTCAATAAGTCCAACTCGAAATTTACTGGAGCAATGAACACATAAACTGCTCTGTGACTGGTCCCCGCACCACAGTTTGAGAACCCCTGCCTTTGTGGAAGTCATTTCAGGTCGTCCAGCTCCACCTGCCTCAAACACAGCGGCCGCGTCTCATTTCTCTTCACTCGCTTCTTTCTTCCTTGATTCCCTTCCTCGATTCTGCAGGAAAAAGCGAGGATATAAAGAGGATATAAACTCCTCACTGAGACCAATAAAGTTTGATTCTTTTATCTGATGTCTGCCTCGTGAAGCCCTCATGTTTACTCCGCGGTTTTCTTTGGGACACCGCTTAATATGACACATTTGATTGACAGCTGAAACACGCAGGATCGAGGAGAGGAATCAAGGAGAAGGACGCGAGGATAGAGAACTGAGACGCGGCCGGAGAGAGGTTCGACTGATCGTCCAAATGTCATCTCTTGCCTGGGATTTGACGAGCGTCCGTGAAAATATACAACCGCCTCCCGGCACGCTCTTAAAACCAGGGTCTCTTTTAAAAAAAATAGTTGTTTGAAAAAAAAAGTTGTGTTGCGTAAGGTGCCAATTATCCAGGTCAGGGTAGTGTCTGTGAGAATGAGATGACATTTTAGAGGTAGAACAGCGCACAGAGGAGAGAGGAGAGGGAAAAACATGGTAAACACACGCAGCTATGGACTAATACATAGTCAATGATGGCACACGGGGTTGGCTACGGGCTTATTACAATGGACAGAATACATATATACATTAGGCGTCATGTCAGAAAGAAGAACTGGTAACACATAAATAAACAGCATCATCTATTCTGCATTTCACAACTGCACGGTGGATTCAATGACATACGATATGGACTCGGAGGTGTATTGTGTAACGTTTCTGGGGGAGCGTCCGTCACCTGCTTCGTTCCGTGGAGATACCGCCTCTGGAATGTTCCATAGTATGGCACGGCGCTTATTTATCGCCACGGAGACGGCAGGTGACACCACGGAGCCGAGACGTCAGATCTGTGGAAAAGTAAGGATATTCACAGTGAGAAGGCAACGGTTTTTAGGTCAATAACAGCCGATGGTATTGAGTAAATGCTCCACGGAGACGAGCAGGTGAAAGACTATCCGCCAGAAAAGTTACACAGTGCAGCTTTAAAGTCTTTTTGTCACTATGAATAAAAATAAATACATAAATTGGGTTTACATTTTGATATTCAGTCCTATAGTAGTTTTGTAGTTGGCAGTCTGCTGACTCCAACCAAGGCATAATTCAAGTCTTGCATATTGTAAATCTGTACCAAAAATCAAGAATTATTGCAAAATAAGATACAACTACATTTAATTTGACAACTAATATATGCATTGAGTATCCAGCTTTTTTTTCTTCAAGTTGAGTGATATTATTTTGAAGAAAATTCTATCGACTAACTATGAATGAATGAATGAATGTTTAATCGGACAGTAATACACAGAACATGCATAGAAAACGTAAATACATCGATATTAGGGGTGTAATGATATCCAAGTTTCACGATACGATATTCTCATGGTACGATATTTATTGCGATATCGTGGGAAAGCTCATGGTGTGGTTGGGAGGCTCATGATATTACGATATTATACCTAATAATAAGAAAAACATTATAACATGCTTTGACCAGTCATTTGGTACAATATTTATTGTCATATTCTAGGGATGTAACAATATCCAAATCTCACAGTACGATATTATCACGATATGCAGCTCACGGTACGATATTTACTGCGATATTTTGAGAGATAATCATTAAAGATGGGACACTTTTTTGCTTTTAAAACACATTGACAAGATTTTGGTGTGAATCATTTCTGTCATAATCCCAAGAATTCAAGTAAAAAACATATTTCTTCATGTTGTCTGCGCTGAAATGAATCATGGGATATGTAGTTCTTTATGTTTATAAGATGTTTCTACTATAAAACGATGCGTTTAAGCAAGGCAACTTGTAATTTGATATATTGTGACAGCCCACGATATTATTGTGAGACTTTTGACGATACGATATCACGATATTTCGGTTATTGTTACATCTCTAATAGTTCTAACATGAAACGTAAATATTTCTTTTCTATAACAATAAGCAAAAATGTCCCACAGATTTTACTTGTGTCCGAAAAACTACAATACTCTATACTCTCAATTTGATATTTTTTAATAATAAATATACTTAAATTATTACTATTATTATTATTATTATTATTATTATTATTAGTAGTAGTAGTAGTAGTAGTAGTAGTAGTAGTAGTATATGACAGACAGATACTTGATTTTGAGATAAAGAGATATTTTGAGACATTGATCCCGAGGGAAATTCAAGTTTTGCTGCAGCAAACATTTGATGTTGCTGCAACATTTCCACTGTGTGTCTCAGTGTCCTTTGTGTCTCAGTCAAAAGTCTCAGGTCAGTTTCACAGGAGGACTGGTCAGGGAGGGTCAGCAGATTTTGTGTCAGGACAATTTGAGGAGAGGAACATCCAAAAGTGTCCCTCCACTGTGTCCTGCAGCATCACAGCAGCCTCCAGGGGGCGCCAGGTGAACACAATAGGTCCATTCCCTCTAAGTATTTCCTCTGAAGATCTTCTGTCACATTTGTTGCCACATATGGTGTAAAAAGTCTGTCGCATCCATGGATACGGGAAAAACACACAGCTCATTTCACAAAATCCGAGTCTTTTACATGTGTCCGTTAAACTACAGATTCTCTCTCTCTGTAAGTCAGTTGAATATTATTACTGTACATCCATTTCTGATTTCTGATCTGCTTTAGGCTTATTTTTGGATGTTGTCAGGCAGAAAAGTCAAGACGCTATAATGAGGTCTGAATACAATTTCACCACAGTTATGGAAATAATCAAAGACAATAATATTAATTACTTGCCAGTTTATTGATTTTGCCAATTACTTTGAGTTTACTTTGCACTTGTTTTAATTGCCTGTGCTATTATTACATTTGATGAGGTCATAGAAAAGCTTTACTTGGAAAACCGCTCCATTTTGCTTGACATTGATTTATAAAAGCCTTTAGTCGATTAGGTTAGGCTCATAATAGATTTTTTTTCTATTACAACATACAGCTTCCTGGAAAAAGAAGTAAAGGTCAAGTCTAGTGTGCGCAAAGGTAAGACACGTGAACAAACATGTAACCTTGACAGATATACAAGGCTATATAAACAAATGAAACTGCAGAAGCCTATATTGTATTTTTCTAAGAATGTGTGGGATAGTCGTGTTAATATTTCAGAATCAGAGGTTCAAACACCTGTTAAACCATCATTTCCTTACTGAAAATCCCCAAACATCAGTCTATTGACACCAGTATGATTTCCGAAATGAGTTTTCGCTTTCAGAATAAAAGCAAATCATAACAAACATAAGCAGTATCATTGATATGAAGTCGCTATCATGTTCATAACTACTTTCTAACAATTTATATACGCACTTAAATTTAAAAATGCCACTTTTGTTTTGAAAATTTTAAACATAACGTTGACAATTGTTTTAATTTGAAAGCAACAAAGCGGATGTTACCGAGCCACGCTACCGTCCGATTATTTTGATTTTTTTTGAGTTGTGGATGTAGCTAATATGTCAAATATCGCGTATTTTCACACGATTTATCTACATTTACGCTTTTATTTTAAACACAGCTGACTAGTTTAGTTCGGGGATGACATTGGAGTTAATATTTATAGCTTTTAGTCTATTTTTAAACCGTCCCAGTGAAGGATCCTGTTAGCTTGCAGCAGAAGTACAGTGAGTTTACCGACTTGACTGGACCATGTGGGTTTTTGGTTACGGGTCTCTCATTTGGAAAGTGGATTTTCCTTATGAAGAAAAGCAAGTTGGGTTCATTAAAGGCTTCAGTCGGAGGTTTTGGCAAGGCAGCACGGATCACAGAGGAGTGCCAGGCAAAGTGAGTAATGTCCATAATGCTACTGACGCAATGAATGTACTTTCACTCACTGTATTACTCACAGTTTTTGTTATTTTTGAACGAAATATTGCAGATTACTCATTTACTTTGTGTGGCATTGTAGTCAGCAGCTTGACCGTGTGATATAATCGCCAGGACACTGTAATAATCACTACGAATTGAGCTTAGACTTTGCCCAAATTTAGAAATCTAAATACAGGTTTGACTTGTTTCAGTGTTTGAACTAGTATTTTAGTTGTTTTATTATTACTAAACTTGACTAACTGGCTTTTATTCTCCTAAAAATGCCCTGATATTGTCCTAAATAACCCTACCTGATCATGTAAATCTGAGTTACTTATAAAGAGTTATTTTTGATTAATTTATTGAACACAAAACGTATATTAACACAGATAATATTACTACTACATGAGATTATAACTGTGTATTGTGAAATATTGCTGAATCATAATGACACTAGCATTAAATGATAAGAGATTTTGATGTAAGACAAGCCAAGACAATTTTTACTACACATATAAAGTGTAAAAAAAATAATATTGAATTAATTTATAAGTTAAGTTATGAAGCAAATTTATTTTTCATCATCTTCATCATCTTTATTCTGGACTCATGGTGCATTTTAAAAAACGGACAAGGACAGTGACATTACAAAACAATAAACATTCATGTTCTTAAAAGACAACCACACCTGTGTCTCCACATACTTCACTGATATCTTATTGCACTGAACCTCTGATTTGTAAGTGACATTATTATTTCATTGTCTGATTTGTTCAGTCTGCAGAAAAAAACTGTACATTAAAATTCTTAGTGCAGCTTGCAAACTGTTAACTCATGCAGTAACAAACATTTTTAGTTTCACTGAGGGCTAGTTGATAAAAAAGACAGATATTAATATGTGTAAATAAGAATAATTCTAATTCTGATTCATAAATATTAAAGACATAGACTAATTACAATCGTTCTTACTTAGAAAACAAACCTACAAAGTATTACCACAAAATATATATTGTTAATGTCTCTAATAATATCCTAAAGTGAGTTGTAATTATTATACATTGCTTATTGTCTAGTAACATGATTCCTGATTCTTGTTTTACTTGTTTTGCAGCCCGGTCGAGTTGTGACGCTGGTGGAAGATCCAGAGGTGAGAGTTTTGTCGTCACGCTGCATCTGTTTCACTATTAGTCTCTAAATATATTTTTCATCTTGAAGGCTGTTGAATCTTAAGCAGGGAGCTGTCAGTTGCACCCAGAGACCCAGAGATTGTGTTAAAATAGATCCGACTTAAACTATGAAGAACACAATGAAATTAAATTACCATTTTATAGCTTTTTGTCCTTTCCTGTCTTGTTAAAAGAAAAGTCAAGTGTATAATAAAAAAGAAGACAAAATAAATGTTCAAAATGTAATTATTTTGTTGTAATGTCTCATACTCACCGTGTTGAAATATTTGAGTGTCATCAAAGTCATTTTACTGACCTTATAAAAAGACTCTGGTCAAAATTACTGCTACTGTTCACTGCTTCTGTGGCACCTGAATCACACCCTGAGCAGCTTTTGAAACTTTGTATTTTTAACTCAGTTTTTAACTTCATATCATGGGATTTTAATCAGCTAAGAAGTGCAACATGTGCAGTTCAAAGGACACAAGTAAAGACTATTGGATTTTGTGAAATAAGATGTTTGTTTTTCCTGTATTCATGGAGACTATACAAGAGGCTGAAGATTTAAAGAGTTTAAAAATTAAATATAGGCTGTAAGTGACATTTATACTCCACAAATTGAATAATCTTTCATTATTCAATATTGCAATACATTTATAGTACTGGGAGGTTGACAGTGGCTGTTTACTTGGACCAAAAATCAGATCATATTGAGATTTGATCATGAATTTTTGCCGGTCCAGTGGCAATACTACCTGGAGTTTTGTTTAATTTCATTCACACATGTTTGAGTAATCTTTTATTATTAATCTGTTTACATCTCCAAAGTTCAAAATGCTCTGTTCCACCTTGTGATGTCATGAAGCGGTAGTTTTCAAGTTAACAACTACATTTTACCCTTAGTTCAGTGGAGATTGGAACCTAAGCATCCTGACATAATCCATATCTTATTCCATCTTGTACATCTTGTATTTTTAAAGAATGACCTAAACTGACCTGCTGAAAATCAGAGCTCAAACCCAGTGACGTATCAACCTGCTTAACAACTTTGTGAGGAGTTTTTGTCACAACCAATTTCAGATTCAAGCCCGTGACCTTGACAGACCCTCTGCCTCCAGCCACTTATTATTTGGCTTGAAAAATATGATTAATCTTTTGCTTTTCTGAATACCAAAAATGTCTGTTCCAAATCTCCCGAGAATGTGCATAATCTGAACGTGGAACAATGCTCTACGTGGCCAAGAAGATGAATTATTTTGTAAGGATTTTAGGCTTTTCGAGAAGTACACATCCTATTTTAGAAACTGAGAGCCTCAATTTAAGAGATGACAAATACTGGAATGTTCCACAGTATGGCATTAAACATATCTGTCTTGCTTTATTTCTATTACAAATGTTTTTATTGCTTTAAAATACCTTGAAAAACATTCTTACTGTGAGTGGGTTTGCTTCTCCACAGCTCTGACCTCTAACTTCAGCTGGTGTTTTTATTCACAGAGATAGATTATGTTTAATGCCATACCGTGGAACATTCCAGGCAACATCTCTATGAAGACGAGCAGGTGGTGGACCATTTATTATCTCTCAAAAGCCAGAATAAACATAATATAGGAACTTTAAAGGTGCGTGTAACTTTCCTGATGGGAGGTCTGCCATCTGCTCGTCTCTATAAATGTGGTTTTACCTGAAATGTTCCACAGTTATGGCATTAAACTCATTTATCTGGCATTTACTCAATTACATGGGATTTTATTGCCAAAAAGACAAAAAAGCCCCAGAAAAACATACCTTCATACTGTTTGTAGACTTGCCTTACCTGCAGATCCGCCCTGTAACTTGACCTGGCGACGCCGAGCTGCTTTTCTCCATGGAGATACATCTCTTTAATGCTGTACTGTGGAACATTCCTGGTTACATCTCCAAGGAGACAAGCAGGTGGTGGATGCTTCAGTGTCTTTCAAAATAATAAACAAAAAAACAGGAGCTTTAAATGTGAACTGTGTAACTTTCCTGGTTGGAATTCTGCCTCCTGCTTGCCTCTATAAATGTTGTGGTTTTACCTGAAATGTTCCACAGTATGGCATTAAACTCATTTATCTGGCATTTACTCAATTACATGGGATTTTATTGTTAAAAAAGCCCCAGAAAAACATACCTTTATACTGTTTGTGGACTTGCCTTACCGCAGATCCGCCCTGTAACTTGACCTGGTGACGCCGAACTGCTTTTCTACATGGAGATAGATCTGTTTAATGCCATACCGTGGAATATTCCAGGCAGGATCTCCATGGAGACAAGCAGGTGATGGACGCTTCAGTGTCTTTCAAAATAATAAACATAATACAGGAGCTTTAAATGTGCACTGTGGAGCTTTCCTGGTTGGAATTCTGCCTCCTGCTTGTCTCTGTAGATGTTATTGTTTTACCTGAAATGTTCCACGTTATGGCATTAAACTCCTATTATCTGGTATTTACTCAATTACATGTGATTTTATTGTTTAAAAAAGCCCCAGAAAAACATAACTTCTCACTATTTGTGGACTTGCCTTACCACAGATCCGCCTTGTAACTTGACCTGGCGACGCCGAGCTGCTTTTCTCCATGGAGATGCATCGTTTAATGCCATACTGTGGAACATTTCAGGCAGCAACTCCATGGAGACAAGCGTGTGGTGAACCTTCTTTCACAAAGCACCTATAAAAAACAGAATAAATGATAATATAGGAACTTAAAGCTAATAAAATGATCAATTCTGATTTATTTAGATATGTTTTTTTTATGTTTTAGTCAGTTTTATATAAAGCTTAATACTCAAATTCTTTTTCTCGACATTACAATTTGCTCGTGGCTTCAGCCTTTTCTTAGTGTTACATTCTTTTATTCAAGTCCCTCTGTTCAAAATTAGACTCTCATTGACAACAGCTCTGCTCCTCTCAGCAACATCTCAAACAAACAATCGCCCGCTGTCGCCCATTGTGAAAAGGCTAATGGCGTCTTTAGTGCTTTATGAAAGACGGGACTTTAGAGAAGAGAGGAGGAGAAGAGACAAGGAGAGAAAAGGAGACGAAAGGAGGAAGAGAAAGAAGAAGGAGGAGGCGAAGCAAGAGGAAGGAGAAGAGGAGGTAAAGATGAGGAGGAGAGAAGGGAAGAGGGGAGACGAGGAGAGACGAGGAGAAGAGACGAAAGGAGGAAAGGAGGAAGGGAGAGGAGAGGACGAAGGAGGAGGAGAAGGAGAAGAGGATGACGAGGAAAAGGCGGTGGAGGAAGGAGAAGAGTTGGAGAGAAGGAAAGAGGGGAGACAAGGAGAGAAGAGGAGAAGAAAGGAGGACAAGCAAGAGAAAGTGGAGGAGGAGGAAGGAGAAGAGGAGGAGAGAAGAGAAGAGGGGAGACAAGGACAGAGGAGGATGAGGAGAAAGGAGGAAAGAAGAAGAGAGGACGAAGGAGGAGGAGGAGAAAAGGAGAGGATGAAGGAGAAGAGGAGAGAAGCGAAGAGGAGACGAGGAGAGAAAAGGAGAAGAAAGGAGGAAAAGAAAGCGGTGGAGGAGGAGGAGGAGAAGAGGAAGAGAGACGGGAAGAGGAGAGAAAGAGAGGAGGAGAAGAAAGGAGGAAGAGAAAGAGGCGGAGGAGGAGAAAAGGAGATGAGAGACTGGAGGAGGGAGGAGAGGAGGATGGCAAGGAGGAGGAGGAAAAGGAGGAAGGGGGACGAGAAGGGGAGGAAGGAGAAGAGCTGGAGAGAAGGGAAGAGGGGAGACAAGGAGAGAAGAGGAGAAGAAAGGAGGACGAGCAAGAGCAAGTGGAGGAGGAGGAAAAGAGGAGGAAGGAGAAGAGGAGGGGACAAGGAGAGAGGAGGAGAAGAGATGAAAGGAGGAGAGGGAGGAGAAAAAGAGGAGAAGAGATGGCGAGGAGGAGGCGAGCAGAGAAGAGAAGAAGAGAAAGAGGAGGTGGAGAAGGAGGAGAAAGAGAAGAGTAGGAGAGAAGGGAAGAGGGGAAACAAGGAGAGAGAAGAGACGAAAGGAGGATGAGGAGGAAGGAGGAAAGAAGAGGAGACAATGAAGGAGGAGGAGAAGATGATGACGGTGAGGAGAGGAGAAGGAGGAAGAGGAGGGGAGACAAGGCGAGAAAAGGAGAAGAAAGGAGGATGAGGAAGAGAAAGAGGTGGAGGAGGAGATGAGGAGAAAAGGAGAGGAGGGAGGAGAAGGCGGAAGAGGAGGGGGAGGAAGAAGAGGAAGGGAGAGAAGGAGAAAAGAGGAGAAGAAAGAAGGATGAGGAAGAGAAATGTGGAAGAGGACAGACAAAGAGAGAAGAGGAGTAGAAACGAGAACGAGCAAGAGTAAGCGATGGAGGAGAAAGAGAAAGAGGAGGAGAAAGAGAGAAAGAGAGAGGAAGAGAGAGGAGAAAGAGGAGGAGAAAGAGAGGAGGAGAAAGAGAGAGGAGAAAGAGGAGGAGAAAGAGAAGGAAAGAGAAGGAGAAGAGAGGAGAAGAGAAAGAAGAGAAGGAGGAGAAAGAGAAAGAGAGAAAGGAGAGAGAAGAGAGAAGGAGGAGAAAGAGAAGGAGAAAGAGAAGGAGAAAGAGGAGGAGAAAGAGAAGGAGAGAAGAGAAAAAGGAGAAGGAGAAAGAGGAAGGAGAAAGAGAAGGAGAAAGAAGAGAGAAAGAGAAGGAGGAGGAGAAAGAGAAGAAGAAAGAGAAGGAGAAAGAGAAGAAGAAAGAGAAGGAGAGAGAAGGAGAAAGAGAAGGAGAAAGAGAAGAGAAAGAGAGAGAGAAGGAGAGAAGAGAGAGAAGAGAAGAGAGAAGGAGAAAGAGAAGGAGAGAAGGAGAAGAGAGGAGAGAAAGAGGAAGAGAAGGAGAAAGAGAGAAAGAGAGGAGAAAGAGGAGGAGAAAGAGAAGGAGAAAGAGGAGGAGAAGGAGAAAGAGGAGGAGAAGAGAAGGAGAAAGAGAGAAAGGAGGGAGAGAAGGAGAAAGAGAAGAGAAAGAGAGAGAGAAAGAGAGGAGAGAGGAGAAAGAGGAGGAGAAGAGAAGGAGAAAGAGAAAGGAGAGAAGAGAGAGAAGAAAGAGAAAGAGAAAGAGAAGGAGAAAGAGAAGGAGAAAGAGAAGGAGAAGGAGAAGAGGAGGAGAAAGAGAAGGAGAAAGAGAAGGAGAGAGGAGGAGAAAGAAGAGAAAGGAGAAGGAAGGAGGAGAAGAGAGAGGAGAGAAAGAGAAGGAGAAAGAGAAGGAGAAAGAGAAAGAGAGGAGAAAGAGAAGGAGAAAGAGGAGAAAGAGGAGAAAGAGAAGAGAGAGAGAGAGAAAGAGAAGGAGAAAGAGGAGGAGAAAGAGAAGGAGAAAGAGAAGAAAGAGAAGAGAAAGAGGAGAAGAAAGAAGGAGAAAGAGGAGGAGAAAGAGAAGGAGAAAGAGGAGGAGAAAGAGAGAGAGAGAAAGAGGAGGAGAAAGAGAAAGAGAAGGAGAAAGAGAGAGAGAGAAAGAGAGAAGGAGAGGAGAGAGAAAGAGAAGGAGAAGAGAAAGAGAAGGAGAAAGGAGAAAGAGGAGGAGAAAGAGAAGGAGAAAGAGAAGGAGAAAGAGAAAGGAGGAGAAAGAGAGGAGAAAGAGAAGGAGAAAGAGGAGGAGAAAGAGAAGGAGAAAGAGGAGAGAAAGAGAAGAGGAGAAGAGAAAGAGAAGGAGAAGGAGAAAGAGGAGAAAGAGAAGGAGAAAGAGGAGAAGAATCCAGTTCAGCAAAACCCAAACCAAAGGACGGTGTATTGTGGTGCGACCTTGGTGCGTTTGTAAATTTATCTCCGTCATCACAACAGAGATGTGGAGATAGCGCGAGCGTCTGGAGCGATTGTACTGTACGGAGGTGCGTTTGTGCCGCTGATGGATGGAGACGCGGCTCCGGACGAATAAAAGGAGATATTTGGTTTAGAAAAGCAGAGTTTTGGTCTGAGAATGATTCAGCAAACCACAAGTCCAACAGTCCAAGGGGAGTCGAGAAATCCAGCATCAAAACTGAACTGAGGCCATGTTTTTAAAGGTTTCTCTGGAGACGTGTCATTTCTGTGCTTGGAATGTTCCACAGTAGAGCAAATAGTAAAATGTACCAAAAAAATACTCTCGATATATCGATACAGCAGCCCACGCTACCGATACTGTATCATCACATTAAACGATATGATATTTTGATATTTTTGCACAACACTAGTCGTCCTGGTTTGTGAGTTAAGTGTGAATAGAGCCAGTTATAACTCAAAAATTCCTACAAAAACAGGCGTTCTGACTGTGAGCGGGGTCGCCTCTCCACAGACCTGACCTGTAACTTGGTCCGGGTTGGTCTCCATGAAGATAGAAAGGTTTAATGTTGCACTGTGAAACACTCCAGACAAAGCAGTAGCACTTCCATTCCAATAATCACTAGTCCAGGTCAATCTGTGTGTAATTCATTTGTTCATTTGTTTTTCAAAATAAAACCAAAAATAAGAAAATGAAAAAAAAAAAAAAAACATCAACTATTTTCTTCATTATTTGTCTTCAAAACCAAAAAAAAAACAACAAAAAAAACAAAAACCCAAAACTGGAAACTGAATAATGGAAAAAACAGATTATGGATGTTTCCTGTTTCTGTGACTTAAACTGCGATGCCGGACTGAACCAGGACTGAACCAGGACTGAACCAGGACTGAACCAGGACTGAACCAGGACTGAACCAGGACTAAAACAGGTCTCAGTCTTGGTCTCAGTCCCGGTCTGGTCCCAGTCTGGTCCTGGTTTCCTGATCACCCGACAGTCTACGTGAGCGCACGTCCGAACCAGTCCTGACTCTCCTGGTTCAGTCCTGGTTTAGGATCGAGACTGAGAACCGGGACTGGAACCGGACCAGAACCAGGACTGAGACTGGGACTACTGAGACCGGGACCAAGACTAGGACTGAGACTTGTTTAGACATTTTTTAGTCCTGGTTCAGTCTGGCATCACAGTTTAAGTCACGGAAACAGGAAACATCCGTTATCTGTTTTTCCATTTTTCATTTAAACACAAAATTGAAAAATAAAAATTGTTACCCATTTTTTCATTTTGGTTTTGGAGACAAATAATGAAGAAAATTGTTGTTTTTTCATTTTCTGGTTTTTAGTTTCATATTGAAAAATGAATGAATGATACACAGATTCAGGTACTGTGTATTTTTCATGACTGGATTAACTCGTACTTAATGTCGTCTTTCGTCTTTCCGCAGGGCTGCGTTTGGGGCGTGGCCTACAAGCTTCCGACGGGCCGCGAGGAGGAAGTGAAGCGTTACCTCGACTACCGCGAAAAGGGCGGCTACCAGGTGATCACCGTGAACTTTCACCCCCGCACGCCCTCCGCGCTCAGCCAGACCTCGCTGTACATCGGCTCCCGGGACAACCCCAACTACCTCGGCCCCGCCCCCCTGGAGGAGATCGCCGACCAGATCGTGGAGAGCGTCGGACCGAGCGGGAAGAACACTGATTACCTCTTTGAGCTGGCGGCCGCCGTCAGGACGATCGCGCCGGAGGACACCGACCCTCATTTATTTTCTCTGGAGCGTTTGGTGAGGGAGCGCTGCAGAAGACGAGGTGATGGACACAGGACGGCGCCTTCTGACAGTAAATAAGTCACGAAGGACGAAGGTGAAAGGGGCATCAGGGGCCAATCTGGGTATTTTTAACAGTTGCTATGGAAACGGTAATGTTACACTAAATGGGCGACGCTTGTAACTGGTAAGAGAATATGTCTACCAAATTTAAATTATTCTAGTTGTGAAAAAATCGGTTTTCATTGCTGTAAAATGAATTGCATCTAAATTAATTTATTTTACTTTTTTTTTTTTTTTCAAGATTTAGCAAATTTTTCCCTGAAACTGTGTGTCATTCGTTCATTCGTATATATAATATAAAACCAAAAATAAGAAAACAAAAAAAAAACTACTGTTTTCTTTGTTATTTGTCTCCAAAACCAAAATGAAAAAACAGATAATGATTCGTTTTTTCAGTTTTTGGTTTTGTGTTTAAATGAAAAATGGAAAAAAAAAACGAATAGCGGCCGTTTCCTGTTTACGTGACTTCCGTGACTGCGATGCTGGACTTTTGCGCCGCATACGGACGGGACCAGACCGGAACAGGACCGGAACAAGACCGGGACTGAGACCGGGACCAGACCGGGACCAGATCGGGACCAGATCGGGATCAGACCGGGACTTAGACCAAGACCATACCGGGACCAGACCGAGACAGAGATCAGGACTGAGACTGGGACCAGACCGAGACTAAGACCAGACCAGGACTAGAGCGGGACTGAGACCGACACCAGACCAAGACCAGGCCGGGACAAGACCGGAGACTCAGAGCCCACAGCAGGGCCGGAGCTCGAAACCGAGGCTCGGACTCGACGCTCGGAGTCCACTCTGGTCCCGGTCTGGTCCCGGTCTTGGATCAGTCCTGGTTCAGTCCGTATGCGGTGCAAAAGTCCGGCATCACAGTCACAGACGTCACGTAAACAGGAAACGGTCGTTATCAGTTTTTTCCATTCTTCATTTAAACACAAAATCAAAAACTGAAAAAAACAGAATCAAATAATGAAGAAAATAGTTGTTTTTTCATTTTCCTATTTGCGAATGAACGAATGATGCACGGATTTTCCTGCCATTTGGGAAACATGCTCAATTTGATCTTCTTAACATCTCAATTTTACAGACTTTTTATTATTTTATTTTAATGTTTTTCTCTCTTTTTTGTTTTCATTAGGTACAATTTTAAAACTAATTAACTCAAGTTTTACAGCAATTTATTATTTTAATTTATTGGTCTGTATTTCAGGGATTTTGTTAATTTGAAAATGCAGTCTTATATGTCATAAAATTAAATAAATAAAATCCTCTAAATGTATTATTAAATGTTGAAACTTGCACTCTACTCTTAGAAAAACGTGGTACATCGATGATTGTAAACGCTACTACACGTCCAACTGTATTTGTGAGTCTTCCGTTGAGAAAATAAGTCTCGTGTTCATATCGTTCACAAAAATGTTAACGTCATAAAAAATATTTCATCTTATTTTGTATTTATGAAAGGAAAATAAAATAGAACACGTCCTTTAAACACAACCAGCATCTTAAGTTCAGGGTAAAAATCCACTGTCTGTTCAACTCATCTGTGACAATAAACGTAGTTCAAACAAAAGGACGAGTTTTTGTGTTTTGTTTTTCAAATTTAGAGAGACACGAGATAGTGGAAGTGTGGAAGAACGGCGACAGGGAGCGCACCTGCCACAATGCAATGAATCAACAAGTGAAGAGAAATAAAACACTTTTCGCTTGTGACATGAAATTTACTGAAGAATAAGCTGAAGAAAAACAACTTCTTAACTTAATAAA